TTATTATTGGATAAAAATAAAACAGGATAGAAAGAAATTTACAAACTAGACATGTTTTTCGAATAAATATTTAAAATTTATTTTAAAAATATAAAAATAATCAATTAATGTCTCAAAATTATTATTTACATATTAAAAACGTTAAAATACTTTTTTTTTAAATTGTGGGAGAAATTAAAAAATTGCGGTAGATTTCCAATTGCGGTAGTTCTGCGGGAGAGAGATATCTGCGTGTAAACTAAAAAATTGAAAGTCTCCCGCTGATGGGGGAGACATGGCAACCCTGTTCATACTTAAAGGTGTGCTATTCTCTATTTATCTTATTAAAACTAGTTTTTGTTTATTGACTAGAAAAACTAATTGATGGAATAGTAAGTATTAATCTGGCATTTCATATGGTATGAGCTCACCTAAAAATATTTGTTTGTTTTCGCATGTTGCCAATCGCGGCAATTTAATCTTATTTTGTCGTTAAAAACTATCTACCAAATGAATTAAAGAATCAATGTAATAAATTTCAATTATTGATTTAAGTTCCAGATTAAATGCTTCCAGAAATTTGGATGATTTTACGCTTTAATGGGTGATATAGATTTTATTTCTCTTATAGTACGGTTACCTTTTTGTGTGTGAAAAAAATAGAATTAATAAATATTAGCGCAAACCAGCTATTTTCCATTCTATCAATAATGCCAAATTAAGCAATTTTTCTTATTTAGCTAATAAACTTTTTCTTTATACTGTTTATTAAAGGAATTAAATTTAAATTAATACGGAACATCTATAAAATTTTCGGAATAAATTATTTCAGTCGCTTAAATCATAGATTTGCCAAAATTTTGTTACAGTTTTTTCCTTTTACGAGCTACTATATACTCGTTTAAATACTCAATTGGTACTAATAAAGCAAGAAATATTGTTATAATTTACAATTAGTTCGTAGAACTATTCAGCCGCCAAATTTAACGGCGCTAATATTAAAATATATAAATCTTGTCTATTACTAAGTTGAAGCATATAAAGAAATTAATCAGAATTATCAAACTATTATGGTAATTATAGATATAAATAACTTAAACCTTTGATTTTGAATGATACGATCAAGTTAGAATATTTTGAAAGAATTAAATAAAAATGTAAATATAAGCCTAAAAAATATGTAAAGATTTATTTTTAATTCTACATTCAAATGCTGGCTCAGAGATGAGATTAATGAATATGATTAGGCGAAAAAATCCTTCTTCGGTCTCATTTGATTTATTAAAGGCCGAATTAATGGTAAAGCAGAATTTTGACATGAATTGCGAAGAGTTAAAATTTCTTTTAAATAAAATAAATTCCTTTCGATAAATATGTAGATTTGGATCTAATTTTTATATATTTTGACTTTATAATAAATATGGATAATATTCAAATTTAAATTTATAAATTATAATTTGAAAAAAATTATTCACCAATATTTATATATAAAAGGATTGCAGTTGTCGTGCTTTCCCGCTTTTTATCCTTTTAGTCATTAAAAATCCCACCTCACTTTTAGAATATAGGAGGTAGGGCCGGGCCTAAAAATTTTTGCAATTTATAAAATGAGAAAATTGAATAAGACACCTATTTAATCTATAATTAAAATATAGCCACTTTTTATAATTATTTTTTATTATCCTTCATTTATATACTATTCTCAAAATTTAGAAAATGTTTTTAACAAACCACCCCTACCTCCCCACCCTTGTCGTGGTAAAATATGTAAGAGTAAATAAATAAACACTCCATTTTGCCCTGGTTTCCCGATATTGGAATATCTTTATTTTCTTGATGAAACATTTTCTATTTATTTTCAAAAAATCCTGATTTTTTTTAATTCCATTTTATTAGAAAAAATGAGTAAAAGTGCTTACAAATTGAGTAGAAGCGTTTAGCGGTGTTTTCATAAAAACGCTGTGATTTAAATTGAACTGGTATTATTTTAAAAAATGATGAAAACTATTTTACGTTTTTTAATTTTTATATTGTTTTAGTTAGACTTGTGAAATGAGCAAAAATAAAAAACTGAAATAACTGAAGATCTAATGATTTATTTCCATAATTTATTCTTCATAAATATTACAAATTTATGTAATCCAATAAAATATTTTGGATTTTTTTTTGATTAATCATAACTTCAGTTATTTCTATTTATTAAAATGCGAATAGAAGAAAAAGGAGAGGTCAAAATATTCAAATGAATTAGTTACTTTTATATCAGAAAGTTATATCGATGTGCATTATCTAAAAATTGTAATTATGAGGCATTAATTATCAGTAAAATCTTCTATAATTTTTAAAAATAATCTGAGAAAATCAATAAAAATTTTTAGCTTTCAGTATATTTTTTTATCTAGATTGGAAAATACGTATTTCATTTATTTTAAATGACATAAAGCACACTTTAAAATTTTATGTGGGGGGGGGGGGGGGGGGGAGTTAACTTATTCTGGTAAAAACTTAACCCAAAATGTGCCCTCCATACTTACAACCATGAGTGAGTAAGACCAGAAAGACTAATATATTTCTATCACGTCAGATAGAGGTTACATGCTTATTAAAAACAAAACGTAATAGAATATTCTTAAAACATTTGCGTTTATGATTTAAGAAACTTCGGTGGGTAAATTGATATTGAATATAACAATTTCACTTAAAATGAATTCGCAATTTTCGCTGTCATGCGCTCGCTATAATAATTTCGCGCAAAAACATTCGCGGTAGAAAATTTGCTATAAATGGTTCGCGATCAAAGTTTCGCTAAAATGTATTCGCGGTTTAGGTTTCGCGGAAATAAATTCGCGATAATTAGTTCGCGATCAAAGTTTCGCCAAAATGTATTCGCTATAAAGTATTCGCGGTTAAAGTTTCGCGAAAATAAATTCGCTATAACGAGTTCGCGATAAAAGTTTCGCTAAAATGTATTCGCGGTTAAGGTTTCGCAAAAATAAATTCGCTATAACGAGTTCGCGATCAAAGTTTTGCTAGAATGTATTCGCTATAAAGTATTCGCGGTTAAGGTTTTGCAGAAATAAATTCGCGATATTGTCTTCGCTATAAATGTTTCGCGGAAAAAAATTCGCGGATTTGGTTTCGCGATATTACCTTTGTTTTAAAATTCCTTCGCGATAAATGACATTCGTGATAAAAGTTTCGCGAAAAAGTGTTTCGCGATAAAAGTTTCGCTGAATTGACCTGATAAGTAAAAATTTTAGCGCATACCTAACTTTGAACTTGTTTTGATATAATAAAATAATGATTTTGACAGGTTAATGATAAAATAAGGAATAATAAATATTGTTTTGTAAATTAATATGTCTAAGTAGCAACATTTAGCTTTTTAAATATAAAAATAAATTGATAAAAAATTTTGATGATAAATGATCTCACTGGGTGCGAAAGGGTTAAGCCTTTAAGGTCAAGAATATTTTTATCAACATAAAATACCGATATAGGTTTTAAATAATAGCTAAATGAAATATCTTTCAACTGAAATGAAAATATTCACTCTTGGTCTTTATATACTGGATTTGGTTTAGATTGGGGTAATAAAAATTTAATATTGAAAAAATATCTTTTAATAATATTCACATTTGGTCTTAACAGTTAGGACTTGATCTCCAATGGGATTGGTGGGGGGAGGGGGGGATACATAAAAAGTTGATGCCAATAATTTTAAAATATATTTATATCATACATATCCAATATGGATATCAAATTAAAAGGTATTTAAAATATATTATACCAATAATGCTAATTATCACTTTAAGTGGTATAGATCTTAAGAAGTCAGTTTTTTTTTAAATTTCATATAACACAAAAATTGTATGATAATTGAAATAACTGATATTATTTACTGTAGGAACTTGGTCTAGGGTTTTTTTTAAACTTATATAAGATAAAAAAATCAAAATGAAATGGGCATCAATGGATTTTTTTAATATTTTCCAATATAGAATTTTAAGGGCTATAAAATGACATATAATTTGTGACATAACATATGTATTTTTATTTTAAATGAGATATAATAAAATCATGATTTATGTGATTTTTGACTTTGAAGATTATATATTTGAATTTGATTTAACTAGTGCCCTAAAAAAAATTTTCTCCTAAAATATACAACATAGATAACTATCATGCTAAGTTTTGTTAATATTAAAAATGGTTGTCTGAAAATATAGTTTTTTGGTCAATTTGATATGGAATAACACATATATTTTAAAAAAATTTATTCATATTTTCATACCAATATTTATTATATATAACAAATTAAAAAAATTTAGTCATATTTTCATACTAATATTTATTATATATAACAAATATTTTAAAAAAATTTCTTAAGTACCATAAAAAAGAAGTGAAAGTTATTTTCTAAAAATCAATAGCTACTTTCTCATCCAATAATCATATTACTTTTTTAAATAAGGGAATTAAAACAAAATGGATGAAACAACATGATTATATCTACCCAAATTTAGGCTGAATTGGATATATATCTCCTTAGATTTAAGCATCAAATAAATAAATGTATTGAAAGTATAAATAATCTAATTTCCAAGAAGATTGGTTGTAAGAAGATAATTACTTAAATGAATGCTTTTTTTAAAAAAAGAATGATATGAATATAGAAAAAATTATCAATATATTTATTTTTTTGAATCAAAAAATAATACTATAAACATATATGACTCCCTATTTTATAAATATATTTCTAAATGAACTTCCAACAATCCTCAAGCTAGTGTTGGGAGGTTGTTTAACCACAAAATATTTAAGGCAATTTTGTAAGATAATACACATATTGATTGAAGTATATAAATAATTTATCAGGCATATAAGAAATGTATCCAGTATGAAATTTGAAAATATTATTAATCCTTTTCTAGGCAAACTACTCAAGCACCTAAAATCTATAAAAACTATGCATATTTGGTACATCTCAACAACCCTAAATCTTAGTAAAAATATCATACCATTTCTGCTAAGAGAGTAACATTTTCACCCCTAACAATATATATTCCTTTATGGATTTCCCCATATTGTTTGCCAACATATATTCTCTCTATTGTTTGTTGTAAAACTAGATTTGCTATTTTAATAACAGATATATACTGTATATTTGTGATATCAAGTACCATATTGATCAACACTTCGGAGAAATCCAATTAATATTCTTCCATCTCTCAACCATACCATTAATTTCTCTATAAATATATATTTTATAAAATATATTGAATAATCATTACTATCTATATCATATACAAGATTAACCGTTCCAGGCAAAAAATTCAAAAAACCAGGATCTCGTGGGTTTAGGTCTGTTTGAACCATTTAACTTTTTAATTATATCTAATGCCTATTAAAAATTAAAATTATGTCACAAATGTGAAAGATGTCACAATTATTGAAAATCAATGCTATATTATTTTTATGAGCTAGGCTAAAAATAAGTAAAAAGTATATATATTAGGTTGTGGGGGGGGGGGGGGGTAAACTACGGCTGCCTATTTTCCCCTATTTTTGGCCTCCATTCCAATTTTGAAGAGCCCCATCCATCTACCCGTAAAAATATTTTGATATTTTAATTTAGAAATTTGTTTTTAATAATCTTAATGTTTTTTAACTTTATTTCAGCAAATTCATCCAAAAATCTAAAAAATATACGACTGATCAATAAATTACTTCCAAAAATATAAATATGAGATATAAAATTTCACCAAAAAGTTTCGTACGAAAATTATTTTTTCAATCATTTATTGTGTTTTATGATAAAATATATTTTATTATCCGATATAAAGTCAACAATTTTTTCTTCTTTACATATTTATTATAGCCAGTCGCGCCCTTTTATAGCTAGCCTCTACTTGGGGGGGGGGGCAGTTTGCTTCCAATTTTTTTTAAGGGGATAAGAGTTCGGCCTTTAAGGGGGATAGGTTAGTGATATTATAAGTTTTTGCGGCGTTATCTATTAAATTATCAAGTAAAATATCCTCGATTATATATACTTTTCTATCCTATTCATTTACATCGTCTTTACTCAAATAATATAATAATTCGTTTCGTTTTTCTGTTTAACAGTCGATTTGAATATTACTTCTTTTTTCTCAATTTTATTTCAAAGTAAATTTACATATTACAACACCCTTACACTTAGATTAGACCCCACATTCTGCGAAATACCAATATTCGTGCATGTATCCAATTACTGTTTTATTTCCTTTGCTCACTTACATCACCGATAGATTCTGTTTCTTGTCTTAGTCTGTTATTGATGAGCTCTTAGCACTGACAACTTGATTAACGCATGCTTTTAAACGATACACGATTGCTAGTCAACTATTATCGATACTACGTCGTAAATTCTCCTGATAAATTAATTTGGTCTTTTTCTTGTTTCTAACGTACTCTTGTAACTAATGGTCATTGCTTTATCTCGATCAACGATGTGCGATGTTTGATCTGCCATTTTTCACTTGTTTCTTAGATCATCGATTTTGTATCTTATACTAAAGTTTTGATAAGCAATTGGCGCTAATTTGTCAACGATTAACGATTGCATTCTGGTATTGACCACTTGTTCTACCTAATCGCTTGGCAATATATCAACTTCGTCTTAAGATCTCTTATACGATAAAGATTTCTTTTATTTTTTGATCTGAAATAAAAATTCGATCTTCACATGAGCTCGATTGAGGCATAAAATTTTTAATGACTAATAGCCGTTTCTCTTTATGAAGATTTTTGGTTAATCCACAACCTAATATTATATAAAACGATTACTTGTACCTATAACGATCTCTTGTGACGAATTCTTTTTAGATAAACGACTAATTCTATTCTTTTCCGAATTACGACCATTGATATTGATACCATTGTTTCATTGCTCTCATTATTTATCTTAGTGTAGATAGTCATTTCATACATCCCCTTCCCCCTTTATTTAGAATTTCTTTTCAGAGTTAATTACACTGAATTGTTGTAATTGCCCTGGCACCTCTACTCTCCAACATCATTGTCAAATTATGAAAAGTTTATTATACTGAATATGCCCATAGAACATAATGTTTCGGTAATAAATGTTGTAGTTGAGAATTAAAGAGAATACAAATAATTAGTATAAATTAATTAACTACTAATACTTTATTAATTTATATAATTTGTAATTACATAATCATAACTAAAATAAAATAATATAAGAAAAATTATAAGTTCGCAAAATAATAATATTTATCAAGTAATATATCCTATTCATTTACATCGTCTTTACTCAAATAATATAATAATTCGTTTCGTTTTTCTGTTTAACAGTCGATTTTAATATTACTTCTTTTTCCTCGATTTTATTTCAAAGTAAATTTACATATTACAATAAATTTGTATTATAAACCTAAATAATCTGGTGTAAATTATTTAAAAATCACAATTGGATATCCAAATCGATATAAGTAAGTCAGACACTTATGATATTAATGAAATGGAAGGTACCCTGGAAGAAAATGTTCTTTATAACAATAATACAAATTTTCCATTTCCAAAATTGGAAAATATTTTCAAATTAATGTAAAAACAAAAGGTGGCTACAAATTTATTTATTCAAACTGTAAAAAAATATATCCTTAAATAAATCTAGTAGCTATAACCTCAAAAACATCTAAAGGAAATTGTTTTTTAAATTCTAATAGTATTTTTATTTTGCAAGAACGTTCATGCCAACGGTTTTATAGATATAGAAAATAATCTTAATAATTTTGGATTCAAAAAGACCAATTCAATTCAAGTTAAAAGGATTAATAATATTACACATGACAATATTCCTCAGAAACTGGCTGATAAAGTTATTGTCGATTTTATAATTGATATAGCAGCCAATGTCATTTGCTGATAATTCATCATTTATCAAACAATTTTTTGTCGCCAGACACTAATGATTGAGATAGCAATAAAGGATGCCCTAGTTAGAACCATAAAAACTACACTTCCATTGATAATTTTTTTTGAAATAAAGGATACCAATCTAACAGAAAATCCAATCTAAAAATGCAAATGAGTATTTTTGATAATTTTCCATATATTAAAAATATGTATATAAAATTAAATATTGCCCTGCGCTAAAGTGCTAGTGTTGAGAAATTATTTAGTAAGGCCTTAACTTTCTGATCGTCGCTATAGACTTGGAGATGATAGTATAGAAATGATTTTATTACTAAAATGCAAAAAAATAAATAAAAAATTAATTACCATAAATAGTTATAAATTAGTCTTTTTACATATATTTTTTTATAATCAAAAATAACTATATTTAAATATTTATAAATAATGATTTTATGTATTATATAATATGCAATTACATTATAAACAAAAAATAAAACAAATTTATTTCTAAATTCTTTTTATAAAAAGTAGCATAAAAATAAGCAAAAGCTACCTTTAAAAAATAGCAGCTAATATCACGCTACTTTTTTTAATGGGTAACGATAGCGGTAGATCGCTACTTTTAAAAGTAGGGTTTAACAACTCTGGTGAAAATAAGGGTATTAGAAAGTTTAAAATCTCGTCTGATAACCCTATTAGATAGAGTAGCTCCTATTTAATGATAAATACAATTTATGAGATATTTACATTTTATCCAATTATTTTAAAAATATTTGATTATTAGGAACATGGATGTTATAGAAGATTACATTAAATTTAAAGATTACAACAAAAGAGCCTTCCAAAAAAATAATACACGCTTTGATTTGTATGGGCTCTTGGTTAAAGAATGGAATAGATCTACCGCATCTATCAAGTCCCCCTTAATTCTTTCCAATGCAGTTCTGCAAACTAAGATATTAACATTTATTTAAATTAAATATTTATATTATTTATTAAATTATTCATATTTGATTTTTTATGGTTAACATAATACTCTTATATTTAATAAAATGATTTAGCAAGAATAAATTAGGCAAAACGAAAATATTTTTAAAATAACAAAATATAAAAATATGGGTCCTAGATCGGTCTTTTTATTTAAGACCACGGTATGGATCGATTTCTTAAGGACAGTTGTCCGATCCGGGTATATCGGTCGGTCCGGACCAAAGATCGGTCGGTGATTTTCACTAATCTCAATGTGAGCCACTTTGCCCCCTCCCTATATATTTTTTTTGTATAGTTTTTTATAATTGACTTATTTTAAATGTTTGCATGGTTTTTTTTACATGCTATTTTAATATTGTTTTATATAATATGCTATGTATATTTCTAAAAATTTATAAAAAAATATAAATAAAAAAGAAATATTATAACTAAAATTTTTAACTTTCGATTTTAAAAATATTCCTAAACTTAATTCTAGATAAATTATTTTTCATGTTTTTAAAAAAAATTCCTATCGAAACTTTTGAATCAATGAAGAAATACGTGTAACTCAACCAGCTTCCTTTAAGGTTTTTTTAAATGTATAAGATAAAGATGTACGTTACTTTAATGTATAAACATTCAAGCTAATTATAACCACAAATTTAAAATGCTCACAAATAATCATTTTAAAGTTAATAAATTAAAAAATTTTAATTAATTCCAATAACAAATTCCAAATAATTTATAATTATGAGTTTGTACTTAGATTCGTTTTACATAATTTATAATCATTTTTAAATATAATAAATCAACACGTGTCGAATGCTTAAATATATACACTAATATCCTGAATTACCCCCTGCTGTTGTTAAAATATTGTAATAACTTTCACAAAAAATTTTTATTACTAATATATTTTGTAAAAATCTTGAAACTAAAGATCAATTTAATTTGATTCCAACTGTGATTATTTTTTATAAAGAAAATATTAGACAAAAAACCCCAAATATATGTATTTTAAAAAAAATAATTTATTCAATTTTTTTTTCTATGATCATACACTTATATATATTGCAAATTGCAATATGGTTATATTCCTTTATATAAGTATCCCAGTGTGAAACATACTTTTAAATCTCAAGAACTATCTATAGGTTGACAGATAAATGATTATGTAATTGATTTATGTATGTTACCGACAATGTTCGTAATCACCAGGCATATTGCCTTGATAAATTCAATACTTATAATATCTTAAAAAATTCTGTGAAATATATAGGGTAGGAATCCTTGTAGAGATATGCAAAGCCGGGGCGCGACCTATCCTAAAACCTCCAAATTTTTTAAGATAATTATAACGGGCCGAGCTGGGCAATAAATTAATGGACTGGGTAAATCGTACATAAAATATTTTTAGACCGGGCTGGACAATTTATGTATAAAAATTAGGCAGGGCCATGTTTCTGATTTAACGTAAAATTTTGATAGGCAACCTCGGGGATTGATATTTTAATATATATTTATGAATTTAAAGCTAA